CACAGAGGAACAGATTAATGGCCCCTTACATGGAGGGAGAGGGAGGACTCTAGAGACAGGGATAAAGGAGAATGTTTTGGGTAGGGGAGGAAGGGCATTCAAGTTATGCAAGGGAAGGGAGAGAAATGATTTCTAGCTGTGCCAAGGTACATGAGAACATGTACCTGTCTCTAGTTTCTCAGTGCTAAAATACTCATTTAATTGTAATTAACTCTGGAATAAGTACACTCACAGGGGCCTACGCAGGAGGGCTTTGGCAGAGAAAAAAGGGCTTGGTTTGGAGCACAGTGAAAGTTGAAAGAGTGTTGCTGAGGACAGCTCCATCATGTTGAAAGACAAAGAGGATGGGTGGAAGGTTTATCATGCTCTTCTCTGAGGTGTTTCTAAGCCACAAGCTATTCTGTCCTGTAGCAGATGTGTACAGGCCTTTGTTTAGTCTTGGCCAAATTAAGGGGACACAGAGTCTATGTGACAGATTCACCAAGGCTCTGGAGGGCAGCTGGCTGAACCATGGATCTACTGCTGGCTGTGGCTGGTGCTACACTGGATTTGGTTTCTTGAGGAAAATACAGCTGTGATTACTCTTCCCTTTGCTGTCTGTGTGTGACAGCATCCATCAGTGCTCATCCGTCCATTGAAGTGTCACAATGAGATGTGTTTGAAAATGCCAAAGATGTACAAATTTCATCTGAGCATTGTGGCTGTTCATTCTCTAAGGCTCTTTTCTTAGCCCCTCACCATACTGCCAAAACACAGCTCTAGAGCATGCTCCAGAAAGGCTTCAGTCAAAGCTATCTCTCCTCTCATCTGGACATAACTTCAATCAATTCTCACAGTGGCTGTAGTTCTCCATTTGTGTAATTTACATAATTCCATTAGGTTGAATAAATTTACACAAATTTGTACCCTCTTCTGCTGAGAAGGTTTGTGTTGGTGTTATTGCTTTGGGATTTTTTGAGCATAGTCAAACTCTTTCTGCACGCAGTCACTGTGGCAGATATCAGCCAGTAAAGAACCCATGTTTCACCTTAAAGATCTCCTTACTGAGAAGAAAGAAAGGAGTTACAGTACATCCCAGGTCACTGCATCCTGGCAATGTTCAGAAAATTCTCATCTTCCCTCTGCATTTTCCCTGTTGCCCTTCTCTTCTCTATTGCCTCTTTTTGGTTAAGTTCATTCCAAATTCAATTTTGAGGGAAATACCTTTTCTCTTTGGTCTCAGACACAGCAACACCCTTGCCCCACAGATGATAATAGGGATTGCTTACTCAAATAGAAAGAAAAATTCTTTTATGGATGACATTATTATTTTATCTTATTAGATGTTCCATGTAAAGCATTTATCATTGGAATAATTTTCCCTCTCAAAGTCATATCAGACACAAAGCTGTCTTCAGGGCTATTTCTTCTAGTTCACTGGACAGCTGTTCTGCCTGAAAAGAAAGAAAAGATCATATATCAATCAAAGACTTCAGGAGAATCCTTATGTTCTTTATCTAATAGGAAAATCCTAACTGTGAGCTCTTGATCTTCTGACTTCTGCTTTTTCAGTTTGAAGAACTGCATTGATAGATTTTGCAAGACTATCTGTTTGGTTTATTTTTTTAATGTACCTTTTGTGTGTCGTTTTGATGCTTAGAGGGTGTTACAAACTCATCTTCACTGGTGGCAGCCACATTGTAAGCAAACAGTTTTCTTACCCCTGTGACTCGATTAATCCTCCTCTGAATATCACTATGGGCAGAAATTAGTGCTGCTTAGCAGAAACAAGATTCTCATCTCTGCTCTGCTGGTGCTGAACTACTGATTTCCAGTGGAAAAAGACTAAAGGGCTGAAAGGTGTGTCCAACCTGCAGCCTTCTAAACTAGTTGTCTGTATTTACTCATCACTCTGCAGTTTTGTAACTCCATTGCAGTGAAATAAGTAGCAGGGAATAGATAATTTTAAATATATTTTATTGCTAGTTATACATGTACCCTAGTCTGCCATGCTAATTTAATGAAGATTCAAAGCACATTAGAGTTCCTGGTCTTTATAAAAATATTCAGAATACTTTATACAATTTACTAAACAATGTGTATAGATAGTAGCAGAACTAAGATTAGTGTGTGTCCTTTCATCTATGAGTGTAGGGTGAAGCACAGAAGTGAACCTGGGTGTTCCCTTTCAGCCTAGCAGTGATTACCTTCCAGAATGGAAACCACATCCTCTAGGCAGGGATTCCTGGCCGTGTTAAGCTGTGAGCTGAGTGCCAGAGCATGTTTGCACTGTACAGGTGCACTGGAACCAGGCTGGAGGCTGACTTGGAGACACAGGAGCCCAGGGGAACTATTAACCAAACTTGGAAATCTTTGCACAAGGGAAAAAGAAAGGCAAACTTGACTCCAATAAGATTTTTGTATGCTCCTGTTGGTGCCCTTTAAAGTAGTCTGTTACATGTTCATGCTATGTTGGCATTTGATGGTATCTTCAGAGCCCACACAATGCCATGTAGGGCTCAGCAATACAAAGATTTGCAGTGTTTTGATGTGTTTTGCTGAAAGAGACCCTCTGTTCTCTCAGCCAGCAGACCTTGACTTTGGTAGGGCTTTGCAAGGGCTGTCTGGCCTGGATTCCTTTATGTAGGATTGCAAGCAAAATTAAGGCATGACGTGGCTAATTATGCAGTGGAAAAAGAGGTATGAGAAAGGAAAGATGTGCCAGCATAATTGCTGTAAATTCTTCTATTTACATATACTTAAAGTCATCCTGATCCCACATTTCCCGAAGCAAATGAATTTATTGATTCTAAGTAGATCTTGGATCATATGGCTTGCCACGTTGGATCAGAATATTGGGCCATCAAGTGCCATTGATTATGACCAGGAGCAGGAGATTTAGAGCAAAAGGCAAGAAACCTGTGATCAGTCATTGTAGAATAAGCTCTCCTTAAGGATGCTGTAATTATAAGCAGGATGCATGGCCAGTGTGCAAAATGTGATAGCTCCAAACAAAGGGAAAACAATTGGGATGATTTAATTCTCTTTTGCTTTGAAATAAAAAAGAAAAAGATCAGTTTTATTTAATCAATAAACTCTAGGGTTTGATGTATGGATGAAAACTTACAATCAGTGGAATAATACTTCTGGTTAAGCACTTCTCATCAGGAACTTGTTTGACCTGTGAGCTGCTTCATTTTTTAAACTTAGATGTCTCTATTATAGAACTTCTAAAGATTGTTGCAGTGCCACCATGGGGAGTGTGTGTGTGTGCTTTAATACGGATGCATCTTGTAGGAGAGGAGATAAACCTTTTTCTTTGTACACAGACACATACATGATTTATCAAACATATTGTATTACTCTGTCTTTACAGTAAAACGTACAGTGGATGTGAATTACTCTATCTGTGAAGGATTAGAAACTCTGATGTTCTGTCTTGTATTCAAGAAGAGGATTACTCTGCAGATAACGTGCAGATAATTTACTTTTAGTGAGGCAGTGCAGTTTAAGGACTGAAAAATCAACTTTCTTGAGGCAAAAGGAGTAGGAAAAATGGAAAAATATAGGATAGTTGACTACTCATGGAAATTTCAAGAGAACATCAGAAATGTATCATTATATATTTATTGAACAGTTGTCACTTCCATCTTCCTAAAATGGTCTTTTGATAAAAAAAAAATTAAAATATATTGCAAATGCTGAGTACCTTGAAATTCACCCATTTTTTGTGTGCATTGGCATGATTGGCAGCATTACATGCCAACAGCTCATTTGAATATGAAACATCTGTACATTATTATTTAGGGATTTTTCATCTGTTGATTTTAGAAATGAGGATTTTATGAGTCCTTGCATGCATAATTGTGTGTTACTTATATACAGAAGCAGTCAGTAATAAAAGAATTGGCCAAAACCATACTGTATATAGTTTTGTGATTAAGATAGGAAATGCAATGTATAAGGAAATACAATATGCACTGCATTTGATTTTAGGTGTGGCAGCAGCAATTATGATTTTGTAACAGTGGAAATAACATGACAGTTCAAAAGCACAGTGAGAAGATTATGCTTTCTTATATACTGCAGTGTAAATTCTTAAAATAACAATGGAATTCTTACATTTTTCACTGGAAATCAAGATAATCCAATTTAAAACAATTTATTCTCAACAGGTATGGTAAAAAAAGATATATCATTCTGGAGCGTGGTATAATACATTAATTTTTATGAGTGAGTTATGAAGATGTACAACTCAGGACCTAGGATAAACATCATATCCCTTAATTAATCCATTACATTATGGCACATATGTGTCACTTTTATTAGCCTAAAATGAAAAATGTTTGGGAAAGAAAAAAAGCCTGTTTTTTCTCTGTATTGGAAAACCTTTCTTCTAAAATCATAAAAACAAAATCTGATGCAGAAAACACTATTAAGGAGTTAAACATCTAAATTCCTTGAAGACTTGTAAGATAAAGAGCCATCATCTTCTGTAATTGTTCAAATACATTCTTAGCTCAAATATATTAAAGCTTCGGCATGAAGTTTCTATATGTTTAAATGAATCCAGGCAACTTAAATTCCAGCTAAAGAATGCTGGTGAAGCTATGATTGAGCAACAATATAGGAACACAGTGGGAAATGAAGAAAAAAGAAATTATCTGTCCCTTTGACATCCCAAAATGCAGTGATGTAGATTCTTATAGATTCAGAAGCGACTCATAGAGATCTACAATGAACCTTTCTGTCATACGGGTCTTACCCTGGCCAAGATTCTCCCTTCTGCCCCAGCACAGATCTCCAGTAATCTGGTGAATTTTTTAAAATGGATATAAAACCCATGATTTCTAGAAGAAGAGTGGCAAAGTGTCCTCTTTGCCTGAGTGCTCTGGCCTCACCTTAGGAAGTTGTTGCCTCTGTGTCTGAGCGTGGGTGGGTATCACATTCTAACCACAGAGTTTTATTTACAGATTGGAATGAATATTAGGCTTGTAATTATGCACATTTTGTGTTTGCAGCAAAGGATCTACAAGAGCATTGGTCACCTAAAGAACTAAATCTCACCTCACCCCAGCCAGGTAAGTTGTATCAGCCCTGCAGCTCTGAGTACCCGTGCTTTGGGAAGGTGGGTGATTTTCTAAACAGCAGTCACTGGCAGGGGCTGTCCAGGGCATGTCTTGGAACAGACACCAGATCTCCCTCAGTTCCTGGTCAGAGACTTCTCAATGCAATTTATCTCTTTGGTTATCTAATATAGGAGCTTTTTCCCCAAAATGTGGTATTTAAATTATATTTAAGTGCTGGAGCTGGGTGCAGAAACAATAGCTGCATCTTGTCTACTGCACTGTATTGGAACTTCCTAATATCAAACCCATAAGATTATGAATGTGTGCTTTGTGAGCCAAATAGCAAATGATCTTTTACATATCTATGTGAATACATTTTCACGTGATTTTACAATGCTAGGTTATCTGTCACTATTTGTCATTTCTAAAATCTGATACTAATAGAATTTAGTATTTGTTGCTTTACATTAAAATAAGAAAAGACATAAGACAACACAAACGAAAACACTATTAATGAAAAAACTAAATTAGAGATTATTTTGTATTGAAGACACGAAATTTAATACAAATTAGCACAATACAAAGAAATATGTTTTTCTGCTATCTCAGTATTAGAAGAATAGCTCTGCCTTTCTCCATATGTCTGTGTCACCAGGTTGTTATTTCTTTTGTTTAGTCATATAATAGAATGTGTTGAGACATATTATACTCAACTTGTGTAACAGCCTACAAATACTGATTGCAGTTTGAGCTTGTTATGGAAAAGTATTGCCCTGTGGATTGAGAAAATGACCAACAGCGGACTATAATCTATGAAGCTGAGAGTAAAATTGCCAACTAGAGGTCATTTTTCAAACCAAGGGGCAATAGTTTTCTACTATAAACTGAATATTACAGTCAGTATATGTTTTATTAAACCATTTCAGAAACTTGGGAGCAGTTTCATTTAAACTTCTTGCTTGATGTGGCTCAGAGAACAGGCCCAGGGCAGCCCACAAAAGAGGCCTAGTGCAGTCTCTATAATAAATATTCTGTATACTCAGTAATTATGAAGGCTTTAGGGCCTTTATGGTGAATGACCATATCCTGCCACCATTCTGAATCCTTAGCAGCAATTGAAGTCATTAGGATTTGTGTATAAAAATGAGTGCAGGCTGCTGTTGCTCACTGTAATACTGTGACAAACTAGAGCCCAGCTAGATAGAAAAGCCAATTATGGCTATTGCAGTCTAAAAGATTAAAAGGAAAATGCCTTTTCCTCCTCCATATTCTCTTACTGTTTTTCTTCCCTACTGAAGTATGGAGATGATGATGGGGTGATTGTCTACTGCCTTAGTCAGTAAGAGGACGTCCACTCTGAAATCACAGAAATGACAATAAACGTGTGGGCAAAGTGAGCCTTTAACCTCTCCTGTAACACACCTCACTTATTCCTAGAGGGTTCCCCACCCTGTGCCTGGGAACAGAGGTGTTTTCTGCAGCCATTGCTTGGAGTGACTCTTAAAAGGTAATATTTTTTCAGTACAAAACCCTCAGTGGCCTTCATGTTTTCAGAAGAGTGATGGGAAGTTTTAGTTTCTCTGCAAAAGTGGGGTGCAAAGAAATATCAGAAGGATCACAGTGGCTTGGGCAGAAGGAGGTCAAACAAAATATTTCACTTTTTCTTTGAGAATCCTTGATAAAAATAATCTTGTTTAGAGCTCCTTGTGGACTTCTCCATAGCTTCTTTTGTAAGCCTCAACATCAAATTGTGTACCTTGCAGGATTTCTGATTTTCTATTTTGGGGCAAAGCTCAGAGTCTGATCATCATTTTGTGGCATAACCATATCACAGACCAATACTATCTTGTTCACAGCACACATATTTAAATTCCTGCATGCCTAAGTTGGAAATGTCACATGTCACAATCATGCCTGTAAATTTTGTGTTCTCACAACCATAATTGGAGATTTCTATCTGTATTTGCCAGATTATTGCATAGTTACAGCTATAGCATGGGAAATTAGGAGCAAAATATGTTTTTCGTCTTGGAGTTTTTAAAAGCCAGACCTTACATCCATATGGGTGTATATATTATACAGACACAGACATAATTTTCAAATGGTCATAATTTTAAAGGTCTGCATAAAACTTCACCTCAGCAAGGGTGATGGATTAGAGTAATAAAAAATGGAGCAGCAAAAGTCTTGTTGTAGATCTAGTCCATCTTCTTGACATTACAGGATTGTTCCCTACAGGGTACTTGGTGATACTTTGTCCAGAGCAGGTTTAAATGTCCCAAGCAGTGAAGTTCCCACTAAAGTTTGACAGACATAATTCAAAGGATATTTTTCTGACCCTCTATCTTAAATGGAACAGTTTACCATGATATGTTGGTCATAACTTCAGGGACCTGTCCTGTGTGTATCTCCTTGGTGCTTCCAGACTTCCAAATATTTGCAGAAAATCTCCATAAGTTACTTTGGTATTGACCATGCCATTTTCTCTCATCCTCCACCTAACACTGTCACTGGGCAGATTGTGAGGGTTTTTAAGACTGGGCCAAATGAAAATAATGCTATTAATTTAGTGCTGCATGTATTGACTAATATATACACACATAGATACGATTATGTATCTAGTCTGTGTTCATTTCCAGGAGGATGTTGTTTAGAGGACTGTCTGATTGTATTGGGCTTTTGCAAACATATAATTAATCTCATTTTTAGCAATGCTTAGCTCCAAGCTGATGGTGTAGAAATATAGGGTTATTAGTTTCTAGAACATTTTTATTATGCACTTTCTATTTTGATTGACAACTATTAATATTTTAAAATGACAGAACTAAAACTTATGCTGCCAGATAGCATCAAATGTAATGTATACTAAGTAAACAGAAGCATGTGAGCAGGATAATATTTATTGTGTAGTTACACAACAATGTGTAAGAGACTAGAGAGAGAATTATTCTTCAAGAGGGATATTTGATATTTTACGCTCTTTAGAAATACAAACATAGGACTGAACTTTGTACCCCATTTCCTCAGGGTAGCATGCAGATTTTATCATCTATCCTGGATGGGTTGTTCTTGAAAGCTTCTATTCTTCACCTTCCTTTCTCTCAAATTGTCTGTATAGAGATGAGGGGGAGAAGATCTTTCCAAGATGAATTTTATGGCTCTTCTGCTTTACCATTTGATATTTTTTTCTTGTTGCTCCAGCTGCAATTTCTGTTGTACCCTTTTCCTGGAGAGCTTGGCTGCCCAAGTCAGATCCTGTTGGGGAAGAGGCACAGTCAGGAGTGTTGTGCAGTAGGAGATTCACGAGGAGAAGGATTGTAGCCGCTGCATCCAAGTCAGGTTGCAATTTCTCATTAGGGGGAAAAAAAATAGCCAAGCAAACAGTCATTTTGTCTTTAGAACAAAAGGAATAGTTACTATGAAGTATATGCAAATTCCCCATGTATTTCTTGTGAATATTTAATATAAAGCAATTAGAGGTAGGGCAAGAATTACACAGCTTTTAAAAACAAATGAAGAAGCTCCCATTTTCATGACACAATTCACCCATCTAAGATTACTTATGGAATTCAAGCTGACAGGAAGAAGCTGGAATGTTCAGAACCTGGTTCAGAAGGTCATTCTTAGGTCTGCGGGCCTTGACTGCCATGCTGGAGCCAGGCCTGGCTTTAGAACGGGATGGCAGAGATGTGCATCTCCTGAAAACAATACAAACAATTCAAACTAACTGAATGAAGATGCAAATTCTTGTGTTGTGTTAACAAGTAAATTGATAAAACTAGCATTAATCAATAAGGAGGAAGACTCTAGGCTTTTTTTTTTTTTGTAAAATAATTTCAGTTTGCATCCTTCGGAGCAAAAATTAGCTCAGTTTTACAGAAGTTTGTCAGGCACAGAATATATTAGGCAGAAGTACCTGGTTTATCTTGTGTAGTGAGGGGAATAAAGCTGTGTTAACCTTGTGTTTTATCTGTACTAATTTTTCCTAATTTAGATCCAGCTTGACTATTTCAGTGAAGTACCATATGTACCTATCTTTAGCAGAAGAAACTCTAAGAGGCAACTCTTAAATTATTCTCAATGCAAATTTTTTCATGAATGATGAAGAGTAACCACTTGTGTTCTTTGCCCACCACCAAAACAAGTAGCTGTAAAATCACAAGATAATATCATTAGGCAGTTGGTTTTTACAAAAAAGGACTAACTGGATAAGAGGAGAGTCAGTGGGGTTGATATATTTCACATTTATTTACTGTCCTAGGTAAATGACTTTTTCCACTCACGGAGACAAAAAATATCCATGTGTGAGGTGTTTTAATTTTTACCTGAATGTGCCTTTACCTACAGTGCCTGACTCCGACTGGGGTTGTTGGGCAGAACTTTTAAACAGTTGCAGTTTTCAGATGCAATTAAAATGTTAAACAAGGACAAGATAATATATGTATAAAATACCTGATTACCCAGCATTTATTATGAACTGTTTGGTGAAGTTCTGCATTCATTCCTTAAATAGATCACATCATGTTTTATTGTTGCTATATTCTCTTTTGGATTACAACCTTCTCTTTTCTCTTAAGTGGTTGACTGCTGCAGCATTCATCCACTGTGCCTTCTGCATTTCCTTCAGCTTTTCCATTCCTTGCAAGTGGTTTTCCTCTTGACTTGTGCTTGGCATCAGGTTGATGCTATTAGCAGAAACACCAGTCTTAAAGTGTTTATTATGAACCTGGACTGGTGAGGGAATTGCAGGTGCTTGTGGAAGCACAATTTGGGAATAGTAGTTCCTGTCGATCAAGGCAATGTGTCATTGTGCCTGACATACTTGTGAATTGTTATCAATCCTGTTACCAATTTCTGTCTAATCCCTCCCTGTCCATCTGTGATGCTTATGGTTCATCTCTTCTGGGCATTAATATTCACATTTCAGAATGATGCATCTAATGACTGACCTCACTTTGAGGGAACAGTGCCATGTTGTGATGGAATAAAGTGTCATGATGTCTTAGGTAAAT